TATAATATATTATAAATATAAAATACATTTAATATTGAATAATCAGTCGAAATCTTTCTTAAATCCATTAAGTTTACTTACCTTTTTGGATCTCTCAATAGGCCAATATACATGTGTCACAAATATCAATTAAGCCCACTCGATAAATCTTTATCCCCGGATACCTCTTGCCCATTCACAGTAGCAATTCACAATTCAACACGCTCTACCCTAAGGCTGCTCCAGCATCACGCACAGAGCCGGGAAGGAAAAAAAACAACAAAGGGAAGGAAAATCATCACCTGCTGACTTGCCATATATATTAAGCTGAAATAACACTCCTTTGGCCACGCCCATCTGCAGAGTCAAACACACACACTTTATGATAAACCCAGGGCACACACACACACTCACACACACACACGTAGATATTGCTTCGGCTCGGCTTCGAGTTCGAGTCTATTTTAAGCATTTAGAACTTTATTGCCCCTTGGCCAAAAGTAGCCCAAGTGACCAGCCCCACCTTGGCCCCAATGTTCGGGTTGGCTTGGCTTAGCCAAGCATAGGGGAAGGGGGCCGATGGGGGGCGGCAATCACAGTGGGCGGCCGTGGACACAACGGGAGGCTGAGACTGTAGCTGGAGGCGGCTTCTGCTGTACCTAATTGCAGAGAGTTCGGCAGCGGGAAAAGACAGCCAAAAGACAGCCAAAAGGCAGCCAAAAGACAGTCAAATGGGGACATTGAGCATACGCCTCGTGTGACAAGGGCTGACAGTAATTAAGCCAAGGCACAAGAGCAGACGCGTGCCAGCTGACAAATGGTGCGATTCTGGCCGGGAGATAATTATTTAAATGAGGTGCATTCGAACGAGTTAAGCCTGTGCCAGGCACGGGGAAAACTCGCCCACCCCCCTCACAATAAGTTGGAAAATTTCATATAAACCGCTTCACACCAAATTCGAGGCAGTTATCAAAAGGCGAATTTGAGGTTGATTGCGTTTATTGCTTTAGTACAGCCACAAATATAAATAAAAAGCGGATGGGCAGCCAGAAGAGGAAGCTGAGGAAGCAGAGCAAAAACTTTAGAGAGCATATAAAAATAGAGGCTCGTATAAGTTGGCGACCCGCATCAGAGCCAAAGCGGCAAATGGGCAAAGCTCTGGGCACTCATAAATGTAGATACCAGAACAAGCATATAGCGCACACACACACACACACACACACACACACTGGCACTTTCATGCCGAAACATGAATTTGAATTCGTTAAACAATAAAATGAACATTCGCCTGGATTGTCACAGAGTCAAGATTAGTGGGCACAGAACTAAACGAGAAACCATTCCGAAAATTAAGTGCTCCTCACATTTTTTACAACGCCCATAAAATCCGGAAGCAAAAAGCGCCGCAAATTGTCCAAATCAAAGGCCAAGTCCGAAAAATTGTTAAAGTATTATAGGGCTTACATAAATGAGGGCATGGTAATGTATCTATTTATTTATATTAGTTTTTAGTTTCATGTGCTAAATTTAGGATTTATTTCAAATTGCATTTTTTACACATAT